ATCATCTGTTTAATGATTATAAATTTTTTTTTCGTTTCTGGATAAAGGCTCACTTAAGCATCTTTTATAAGGTCAGACTGGTGGTGATGGCTTATTTCAGCTTTTAGTTGTCTTAAGGGACTTTTTCCCCTTTCTTTCTGAGGACTGCTTTGCTGAGTATAGTATTGTTGGTTGACATGTTTTTTCTTTGAGAACTTGTACTATGTCATCCCATTCCATTCTGGCCTATACAATTTCTCTTGAAAATTTTGTTTGTCGAATGCAAGATTCCTTGCATGTGACTTAGCACTTTTTATTTTGTTGTTTTTAGGATTTTTTCTTGATTTTGTACTTTTGACAGTTTGACTATAATTAGCCAATGTGAAAATCTTTTCTGGTCATGTCCGTTGAGATCCTATGAATTTCTTATTCCTAGATCTTCATTTCATATTTTCTCAAGATTGAAGAAGTTTCAGCTACTATTTCATTGAATATATTTTCTATTCCTTTTCCTTTCTCTTCCCCTCAGGTACTCCTAAAATTCTAATATTTATTTAATGGTATCTCATGAGTCTTTGAGGCTATTTTCATTCTTTCAAATTAATTTACTTTTTATCTCTTATATGAGTAGGGTATTTAAAATGATCCTCCTTCAATTTCAGATATTCTTTCTTTTTAATCTAGTCTGCTCATGAGGCCTTAAACTGTATTTTTATTTGACTTATTGAGTTTATTTTAAGATTTGTATGTGTTTCTTTTTCCCAGTCTGTATTTCCTTTCTGAATTTGTCATTTATGTCTTTGAATCATATTCCTAATTGCTTTTTCTTCCTGAATTCTCTTGAATCTTGTTGATTTTCCCTGTAAACATTCTATAGAATTCTTTATTAGGCATTTCATCAACACCTTTTCTTTGGAATTCGTTGCTAAAGAGCTATTTAGCCCCTTGAAGTCATCTTGTGATCTTGCTTTTGCATATTTCTTGCGTCCCTTCATTGAGATTTTCACACCTGGTAGATCAGTTGTCTCTACTACTCTTCTTTGGTGACTTCTGTGGGAAAATAACTATCTCCTAAAGATGCATTTTTGGATGCCAGGTTGGTAGGCTACATTGGCATTGTTTCTAGTTGGGTGACATCGTGTAGACCGTGTATAGATTCTTTGTATGCAGTCAGTGACTTTGAGTGTGTTCCATGTGGCAACAGGGACAGAGGGCTCTTCTGACTCAGGAAACCACATGAGGGAGGGGCATACTCTAGTGATTCAAGTAGATGTGGTACGCACCTCAGTTGTGATGAAGCCACAGCCACCTGGCAATGTGTGGCTACTCTGGCATTTGGAATGGTGGCACAGGAAATATGCCACACAATGGCTGTTTCCTCAGTACTGACAGTAGCAGCAGGGGTTGAGGGGGTAGCATATGCATGTTTCAGCCAAGTGGAGGGGGAACTTGCACCCTTATGCCCAGTGGCACTGCAGGGTCAATGTCTGGAACCATTCTTTAATTCATTTATGATTATGTATGGAGTGCCTGCTACATGCAGGGCAGGTAAGCTCATAACAGAACAAGTTCCTACCCTGGTTTGGATAGTAAGTGAAAAAGAAAATAAATGTATAACATGTCAAGTGGTGATAAGCAATAGAAGAAAAACTATAAGATAAATAGGATGTGATAGGTGGGTGAGCAGGGGTCAACTTCAGATAGGATGGTCTTTGGTGGCCAAATGATATTGCACTTAAGACCTGAATGAACTGAAGCAGCACTTCCTGGAGTTGTATAGAGGAGAACACTGCAGACGGAGGGAACAGCAGGTACAGTCCCAGAACCACAGTGTTCTTGTCATAGGCATGGGGCTGGAACAGAGAGGATGCAGGGAAAGGGGGCAGAGAGATGATGTTCACATTTATTTGTTTTACTTTCACAGCTATTGGTCCATTGATTTCTCTAGCACAGATTGTGTAGGGTTGTGTGTGATCTTTTAAAGATGCTGATTTTGTCCTCCAAGTGAGATGGGAAATCAGTAGATTATTAATTGATTAAACATTTTTAGAAGATTTTGTGGCTGTCATTGTTATTGTCTTAAAAAAGTTACATTATGCCTGGAAAAGCTATTTCTATCATAATCATAGCCTTCAAAATCTTCAAATGTGTTAGGGTAGTCAGAGTACCATTTTTTTCATAAAAGATTAAAACTAAAGATAAAACTAAATCACCATACTATACCTTCATATATGCTGTTTCAAGTGGGATATTTATTATTATTATTATAAACTAAGATATAATAAATGTAACTGAATAAATAACACATATTAATTCTTTATCTACTTTGATGCTCACGACTAAAATAGTCTAACATTCGTGGTTAAGCCCACTCTTAAGGGCTTTCTCCTATGGTCACAAATTGGAAAGTTTGGATCTAGAGGAAAATTATCCCTAGGATCTTTCCAAATTCATTCCCATTTTGAAGGTTGAGAGAGTTATTCCAATATGAAGAAGGAAACGTCAATGTGCAATAATTGGTATGAAGAGAACATAATGCTAACTCAGGTGATCCCCTTGAGCTCAGATGTCATCCACACCCCCAAGGAGTTATCATTTGCTGTCTGGTGAAGTCTTCCAGTTTCACACAGAGTCCTTTATCCCTGTCCTTAAATATCTTTGTTTTGGTGTCACCTTGTCAAGGTGCTGATCTATCTCTGAACTTAATTTGTGAAGCTGTGGCACGAGCAGGAAGGAGATTCTTCTTTCTCTTTGATCTTACCCATGGAGTAAGTCATCTTGTCCTTTAGCCAGCCCCACCACTGAGGTCTTCCCTTAGGATGCTGGTGTTTGTGAACCATTAGGCACAACCGTAGTAAAACTTGTCCATATGCAGCCATCACATACATGATCATATATTCCCACAGTGCCTGGGATATATCTTTCCCACACTACTTCACTGTCAAGGGCAGGTAAAGCTATAAAACGTAATAGGTGGCAGCACTCATTTAGATCAGAGATGACTCCATTTTGAGGAGAAAAAATATCCCTAAACCTCACTTCAGTGCTTAACATCAGCAGCCCTTTTTTCTTCCTTTTTCATCATTTTCCCAGCTCCCCACTTACCCCTACCCACTAGATTCTATATTTGGATTCTTCTCCATGCTCCCTCTTGGCACAATCTCAGTTATTGCCATCTACATTATCCCTACTCTAACAAATCTCCACCATACAGTCCATGCTTGGACTCCCCACTCTCTTTCTTAATCAAAACTCCCTTGTCCCAGGTTGTTTGTTCCCCCTTGTTCTGTGTTGCTTTAGAAGAATTATTAGCACATGACATGCTTATATGTAAATATATGCAAATGGTATAATTTATTACCTACCCCACCAGCAAATAATATTGATATTTAGATTGTAACTACCCAAATAGGTGTTGCCAATGCTGAGAAATTTCAGATAAATTTGTAGAAAGAAAATAATAATAATAAATATCCCACTTGAAACAATATTCTGCAAATTCT